CCGAGTGGCCGAGTCCCAGTGGCGTTGAAGCCGAAGATGGTAGTCGAGGTCGAGGCTAGGCGCTTCGACGGTATCCCCAAATGCTTGATTAGCTTCAGGGGCACGATGCTCAGCGCGGACCCCGGGTCAACCTGGATCCGATCCACTTTCGCCGAGCCGACGTATCCTGTGAAGTACAGCGGCCGGTCGTGGGACGTGTTCTTGATGAGCATGTCCTCGGGGGTGAAAGTGATGCAGGGGATCTGTCTCTCGGAGACTTGGCAGCAAGTTGTACAGCCCTGTTCGATCTCCGTTTCTTTCGAGAAATGGGTCGAGAACGCCTCTGCGTCAGCCAACGCCTCTTGTAAGGCTTCCCGGGTAGGCCTAGACAACCGGAGGAGGTCGTACACGGTGATTCGCGCGGGTATGCTTTTCAATTGCGCGAGCACGTTGAACCGGTAAGGCTGGCGGCTTGAACTTGGTCCATCTGGATTGGGAGGGACTGCTGCGGCTGGCCTCGCGGGAGGTCCTGCCGGGTTTTCCGCCCTCGCGGGATATTCTTTCGCGAACTCCTTTCCGGCTCTCGTGGCGAAGACGTGTCTGTCTTCTTCAGAGTCGGTTAAGGCAGTCATCGCCGCGTCATCTCTATCCAGGATGGCGGAGACAACGTTGCAATGCTTCCTCTTAGCCTCCTTGGGAGGCTGTGCAGTCCACTGCTCGTCATCGAGGAGGTCCGGATGGACCCACATCACCTGCCCTGATGGCAGAGTTTGTGGAACCAAACCCTTTTCCCGCTGGTTGTGAGGATCGTCATTAGTGATCTTCAAAACCGCCTTGGGGATAGGAATTATCCCCGCCGGGGCTTGAACCTCCGGGAGACCCGTCCCAAAGCTCAAAGTGACCATGTTCGCCGTCACTTGCTTTTGGACCTTCTCTTTCTTCAAGACCCCCGTGTCGTAGAGGGCCTGGAGTTTATCCTTGAGGACGTAGCACTTGGTTGTGTGATGGCCAAGGAATCTATGATATGCACAGTAACTTGGATCACCGGTTTTGTCCGCCTCCTCAGGCTTGGCGGCTTCTGGCAACTTAATTCGCCCACTCTTGAGTAGAGTGTCGAGAGTCGCCACCACCTGGTCTTCTTTGAAATCATATTGTCGCTGGGGGCGTGGCTCAAACTGCCTAGGTTTAGGCTTTTGAACAGCCTTCGGCGCCGGGGCGGTGTTGACTGCCATGATTTCTTTTCCCCTCGACCGAGGAGGATTCTTCGGCGCAGCTGGCTCCGCTGCTCTCTTTTTGGACTGCGGCTCTTCAGCCTCCAGCCTCTTGATCATATTTTCGACTTGCTCTCCTTGGCGAACAAGCTCCTTCCAAGTCCGGGTCTCTACTGCCCCTATTTTGGACAGGATATGGATCGACAGATTGTTGCGGCACATCTCAATCAGCGTCGCCTCGGAAACTTGGTCCCGACAGTGGACTGATCGATTTCGAAATCTCTTCACGAAGTCGTTAACTGACTCCGACTTACGCTGCTTCTCAGCGAGGAGAGTGGCCATTGACACTTCCGTGTCATCGTCGAAGAAGCGGGCGAGGAAAAGCTTTTCAACGTCGGCCCATGCCTTGATAGAGTCGGGCTCCAGTTTGCGGAACCATTCGAAGGCTACCCCCTTGAGGGTACGTATGAATAGTCGAGTGAGAATGCCGTCGTTTCCGGTAAGGAATCCGGTCTGCGCCATGAAGTAGTAGATGTGCTGAGAGGGCGACCCCTTGCCATCAAACTGTACCAAGCTGATGGGCTTGAACTTCGCTGGGTATGGGACCGTGTCCCATTCGATAGGGTAGGGACGTACCACCCCCAGCTTGTTCATATTTTGCTGAAGCTTCAGCGCGTTCAACTGGTCCTGGAATTCGCCAAATCTTTTGTCACGGGTGCTATCCACGGTGTGCGACGTTCCTATCGATGTTTTGGAGGAGTAATCGGACTGTCGATCATCCTCCGTTTCAGCCGCTGGGCGGTGAGGGGGTACCCACTCCTTGTCCCTGGTTTGTCGGGGTAAGGGACGTTGGGTCCTCTTCTTCTTCTTCTTCTTGTTCAGCAGTTGCTCCATCATTTCTCTTAGAGAGTCGATGGTCGCCTGCTGTTCCTCCAGCTTTTGGGCCATTGTCTGCTCGGTATCGAGTCCGGTCATGTGCACTCTCGCATGCGCGTCTTGACTTGAGCGCGAGGTCTGAGAGGTGGCCGCCGCCGAATGAACCTCGTCTTCACCGCAGGAGGGAGGTACCAGGGTGGGGTGTTAGGTCTTAGGACGGAGTCCGAGTCTGGCGAGTCGGAGAGTACCGCCTTCCCCTTATCCGTCATGTTAACTGTGGCGGATGAGAGCTCCAGGTCGTCAGCAGCGCGTCTTTTCTGTTGACGGTGCCTTCGACGGGAGGGCCTTGGTCGAGAGGACTGTTGAGAAAGTCTCTCGAACACCGAAGGTTTCGCCGTTCCGGAGGATTCGCCTCATGGATAGTGCGTTTGCGAGTCAAGAATTCTCTGAGGTCTTCTACGGGTGGTTGGTGACAACCCCCAGCCTCAGAGGAGTCGCTCGGGTGAGCGGACGAGAGATTTTTGGGCGCTCTCTCTGGTGCGCGTTAGGTGGAATGCTTCGGTGCTGGAGTTGGGCGATCTCGCCTTGACTGGCGAGTCTTCGCGTTCTGGCGAACTCCAGTGCGTAGGCGAGTCTTCGCGTTCTGGCGAACTCCAGTGCGTAGGCGGGTCTCAACCCTACGTTTGGACGAGCGGTTTTGTGAAGAATCGCCCCTCTCCTTGCTTTTACGTTTATCCGCCAAGTGATTATGGCGAGGCTCGCCAGCCTTCGAGGATTCGCCTACTCGGGTAGGCTCACCCCTTGAAAGTGAGTTCTTCGCATCAGGGATATGACCTGAGAAGCGAAGTATTCCCGAGAGGGCGGCTTTGCCTTCCTCGGTCGACGCTCCTGACTTGGAGGGCCTCCCGATGTCGGGCAGTTTGCCTTCTCGTCTAGTGTTTCTCGGACCTGTATGATGGTTCAGGCCGTCGTGAGAAATGGAGGTTTGGGTCTCCTGTCTGACGAGCTCTTGCCGCCGCTGTTGGTTAGTTCTCCCAGCGGGGAGAACGTCACCGCGAGCTATGGCAGTGTGGTTTGTGCCGGAGCGAACCGGCGTTCCCTTCGGGGTAGGTATCTGCGGGGATCGCTTGGCGACCTATTTGGCAGACCCTTGCCCTTTGCGCTCGATCTCCGGCTTGGCGTTGATCGATTGCGAGGGAGTGGGTTCCTCCGATGAGACTCGGGTGGAACCCTCAGGTGCAGAGGCTTTGACCGTCTGAGGTCGGCCTCGGCGCACGACTCTGTGGCGTTTGCGGGACGCATCGCCACCAGAGGAGGAGGAAGATAAGTACTCTTCGTACTTGGCCTGGTCGAACTCGATTTCTAGGGACTCCACGGTCGTCCCGACAACAACCTCATCAAACTGAGCCACCACCATTTCACTCGATGAAACAGCTTCACCCACTGTGGTCGCCATCTTCTGTAGGGTGAAAACTTGATTTCCCGAAAATAGGGAGTGTTTGTTTATATTAATAAGAAGGCTTATTACAAACTAACAAATCAAATGTTTACAACAGAAGCAGAGGGAAAGCCCTCTTTGTTTTGTGTGGGGACTTTAGGTGGCTACAGGATGCTTCGCTCGATGCTCGTGTCGAGTCTGCTTCCCTTGGACCGTTCGAATGAGGTTGCTGGAGAGCTTCAGTACGTAGTAGAAGCTCGGGCCAATAGAGTTCGGGTCTGCTTAGTTCGTCGGCGATCGGAGCTCGGAACTAGGCGGTGGTGCTGTAATGCAAGGATCTGCTAACAGCTTGGTCTCAACTCTTTTCTCTAAGTTTGCGACCTCTCCTCCAGTGTGCTGGAAGGGGCTTTTAAATGGAAGAAGGACAGCTTGACTTCTCCTTGAATTGTGGGATGTGACCACATCCTCTTCAGAGACATCTCGCCGTTCCTCGATACCATGAATGGTCATTCCAGGGATTGTGCTTTATGTCCTGTCACCTACGATGGGAAGGCCCATTCTGGTATGTGAGGCAACGAACGACTGCTATCCGAGTGGACCTGACCAGCATTAATGAACCGCATTTATGAGTTCGCAGAGTGATGAGGCGTCTGTCCGATCACTCGTACTGTGCGTGACCGTCCGGCGTGCTTTGGGCACGGTGCTTTCTCCTTTCCGGTCAGGAGAGGCGGTGAAGTAGGTGCACAATACTCGAGTGGGTCTAGCCAACTTGCCGAGTGCCGGCAGATCCAGCTCTTGACTCAGACAGCCGAGGTGAGTCGCATTTATGAATGCTCAGGTTGACTCGACACATGTCCAGACCTTCGTGCTGTGCGTACTGTGAGCGGCCGTTTTGACGGTCTTGTGGTACTGTGCTCTCTCCCTTTGGGTCGAGAGGGATGGGAAGGTCCATCTCAGCACGTGGGGTAGCGGATACCTAGCTGTACTGACGGTCTTGGGGTTTGCTGGCGGATTCGACCCTGGACTCGGGCAGGCGAGTTGAGTGAAAGGCGAACTTCCGCCATCCTGATCGATCTTAACTCGTGCTGGCGAGCCGACCGTAAGGCGAACCTAGAACCGAGCATATCTGACGTCTATGCGATTTAGGCCCGTGCCAGAGAACTGAGCGTGCGAGCTCTTCTCGCAGGCGAATTTCCTGTAAGCCTATAGAGGTATTTTTTACCGTCTACAGCTCTCTCTTAGGACATTTTGCTTCCGTAGCGTGAGGGTGTGACTCTGCGCCCAACATCAGCCATGTAATCTTTAGTCTTGAAGGGCTTTCTAGAAGCCACCTCATGTCAATACATATTTAGTTTAGCTGACGCTAACTACTATCAAATTAAAAATAAAAATTCAAAGATAAGAGGGTCCTGGAAAAACAATACCAGCTCATCAAGAAACTTTTCATAGTATATCCACATGTGCCATCGACCATTGACCTTGAACTGATTACCTACCTTCGCATGGAGAAGGAAGCACAAGTGAACAAAAGTTCTCAAACAACTTCATGTTTGCCCTTGCTTTTGATGGCCAAAGCTTCCAAAATTTGTTTGACATTATAATGTCAGGGAACATTCTGCATTGTGAGGTTTGAAGTCGCAATCCTGCACAATGAACAAGTAGAGGTTACACAGCAAAGGGAAGATAATCCTCAGCAAAAAACAGTGATGGCACTCATGAGGCACAATATATAACGCCCTTGGTTTCAACTAAGCCTGGCTTTCCTGTGTCAAATAAGTTGGCATATGCATCAATTATCATTCCATTTAACCAGAGTGGAACAATATATTGTGCAATGCCCGCCGTTCTTTGTCATGTAAGGCTTTCATAGAATCCTATCATTTCATTTAACCAGAGTGGAACAATATATTGTGCAATGTGGAACAATATATTGCTCAGTGGTAGCTGAATTAGACTCTCAACTTATAATTTACGAGATCGAATCCCCTTAAATTCAGAATAAATTTGTTAATAAAGTATTTCAGAATAAATTCATGTTTGTCAATATTTGACTGATGATGAGAGCTACAAAAAGATAAATAAAAGAAAATGAAAAATGAAAAAGAAGGAAAAAAAACTCATGTTCAAGTAGGTTTCAGCCTTTCACATAGAATCTTATTATTCGATATACTTCTGCATGTAAATCTTCAGAACTAACGTTAGTTGAGCACAAAGTTCCTTAAATTGTTCGTCAAGGTTGATAAAACATAAATATACACTAAAATGTCTTTTACTAATATTAAAGAAGTTTTCACTAGCTTCAAGCGACAGTTGTTTTACTATTTATCGTTATTATTTTTTTAGAAATATTATATGTATTATCTATTATTAAATCAAAATTTTCAGCTTTTATATATTATGCATCGTCTTCTCTACGTCAATCCTATCAAAATTTGGCAATTATCTTATTAATACACCACTTGATCTTCTCTCTCTTTTTTATTTTTATTTTTTTATTTTTTACTCTTTCCAAAATCAAGATTATTCAGGCATCTCTCTTGAATTTTCAGGCATGGGGTAGGTGTTAATACAGGACGATTATTTACAAGAGCAGAAGAATTATTTGCCGAAAATAATTAAGCATGGGGTAGGTGTTAATACAGGACGATTATTTACAAGAGCAGAAGAATTATTTGCCGAAAATAATTAAATATGAAAGTTGGTTGCGAAATTTTCTGTAGCAAGAGATTTTTCTATTGTTCGCATATGTGCATAATCAAATAAGCTTATTTCTAACAGGAGACTTTGTTCTTATACGTGAAATCATGGGATCCAAGTCTCCCCTTTCATGATGGCCAGCCCATTTATATTTTATTCCTCCGACATGTGTGTCATATCAAGGCTTAATTTTTTTTCCCCATTATTAGATACATACGCTAATCATATTTATCAAATTATATGGTTTCTGGCAGTACAACCATAGTCATTGTGCATGCTACTTCGAAGGGGAACTACAAAATAATATAAAATATTAAGAAAGATGGATCTTGCTCAATGCTCACTTAAACACGTAAATGTAATCATTGATGAAGAGTTCGATCTTAAAAGTCAAATGAAACTTAGTATTGAAAAGTCAAAATTTAGGAGAGTGCTTTACATAGAGTCAAGAAGATGTGAGGAAAATCAATCTCAATAGAGAACTGGGAGTAAATAGCTTAAAGAAACGCTTAATCAGCCGCTTAAAGAGATTAATCAATTATATAGCTCTGATGCAGAAAATACTAAAATCTAGAAAAATATTAAAAATTTTATTATAAGTCGTTAAAAAAAAGAACAGAGCAGTTGGCATCAGAAGCGATCTTCTTCAAAAGAAATTCAAGTATTATAGTATTTTACCAAAACATATATCCGTAGCAAATAACCTCAAAACCGAACCTTTACTAATAGAATATTGAAAATAGAACCACAGCATTTTCGCTTGCAGCATTTTGATGTTAACCCCAACTAATGAGCACGAGGGAATCAAGCTATTACTTATGGTTCCATAGATTAGCAATAAAGTATGATACGCACTATAAATAATCAGGGATAAGATCAGAAGCGCTCCCACCCTTCTTTGAATACCGCTTACAGGAACAAGAATGATCAACTCCTCACTGCGGTTGAACATTAACATCAATTAAATTAGAATAGCCTTCGAAAATATTTGTACCACATAACAACCAATCAATGAAGTCCTTAGAAACAGGAAACAATCTAAAATCCACAAGCCATCGGTTTGCTCACTGTCCTGATAGTTGCCAAATATAATCCAACTGCTAAATTGTTTGTGTTTAAGAATGGATAAATGCTTGACCAAAAAAAATCGAAGTATTTGTGATGCAGCATGAGTATCCACACATGCATGCTAGTGTTATAATTTGTAACATAAAAGTGAAATTTGCAAAATGGACTTACGGTATCTAACCAAACTACAGCACAAATAACTATTCTTATATACCCATATATACCCAAGTTATTCCCATTAATTAAACAATATCCCAAAACGCTGAAACCACACGTTACAAGCGAATGAGCGATATAAACATAAAATGCAAACTTTCTCAATGCCAAGATATATACTTTTAGCCTTAAACATTATTTGCCTCGATGCCTCCAAATTGACAAAAGACTACTATCTACCAGTTCTCTGAATAGCCAGTAAAGCTTGATCACAAAGGTAACACACAGCCTACATCAAGAAGTAAAGGATCAGGATGCCAGAACATATCAATCAATTTCAATAATCAAATGTGACCGCAATTGCATTTAATGATCCAAGTCAATTCAATATCTAGACAGGTCAGGATACGAGGCAAATATCAATCAACTTCAAGATTCAATTGAGACTTCCACTACATAAAATGATCTAAAGTCGTAATTACAATGTGACAACTAACCAACTAGACACATGGTTGACAACTATCTGGCTCGTAAGAACTCCGACTCGAAGTCTCATGGGAGTTCACAAGACAAAACAGAATACTGGAAACAATATTTGTCAGGTAAAAGAAAGGGTATCCTAGAAAGAGTAAATAAGCTTCTTGATCAACAAGGCATCACCATAGCTGAAGATTCAAGCAGACTGCACATCACAGGGTCCAGGAACTCACATCAAGGACAAAACCAGATGTGACATTTAATTCCATACATATTCCAGGAATATGTACGGTTCAAACATTACCACCTAAGCAAACTGTATCAGCAATGAGATGAACCAACGGTAATTATGTCATTGTATAAAAAGAAAGCAAACTGCTCTTGTATGTTTACATGATCTGCTCAATATTTTAATCTAAGAGGAATGTATGCAGACCAATATCCACACAGAATAAACATTCAGATTTCAATGGTAGATTGCAGAGATCAATATAGATTCTGTGCCATCAAGTATCACAATATACAATGGTCTCCAGTTTTAATATAATCTGTGAGGTTGATGTACTACATTCCAATCTTGAGTATGCTTGAGTCTACTAGAAAGATAAAAACATGACGCCTAGAACCCTAATTTATTGTGCCGTTCCTATCTTTCATCAGCGTGGGTGTTGGCAGTCATAATGAGCCAAACATCGAGTCGCTATTCCCCAGCACCACTTGTTCAAGTTTTTAGTATTTCTTCCAATATATCAGCACTTCGTGCAAATTCTCGACACATCTCTATGGTTATTCCCGATCATTAGCTCTTGTTTGCTCTCCAAAGTCTTCCCCACATTCTTCTTAATCTAATTCATATTTCTTTTATACTCTCCTATTTCAAACCCTCTCAAAGTCTTCCCCACATTCTTCTTAATCTAATTCATATTTCTTTTATACTCTCCTATTTCAAACCCTCTTTCACTGAAAGCTATAATCTTTTAAACCACATATACTCAATTACACTACAAAACCACTGAAAATACACAAACTCTAACCCAAAAAAAAAATCTACCTAATTTGGATTTGCAATCACCTTGAGAGAGGCAAGTCCAGCAAGAGGAATCAACGCCGATCGCGCTGTGAAGAGGCATTAAAGACTCAACAGTTCCCAATGCGGGTTCCCAATGCGGAGACGATAGCCCTAAAAATAAGAACAATAGAAAAAGGAAGGAACTAACTAAGATGGAGGCAAGGAAAGCTAGGGTTTAGGGTTTACCTTGAAGAGAGAAGAGAGAATCTTGTTGACGGTGCGGTGATCAGAATTAGGGTTTTCGAGTGGATGGCGGCCGATCTCACGGCGGCGCTGGCGGGATACCTGCAGAGCGATGCCTATAGGTCTCTTTCGTTCGCGTCGCAGCGGGAGTGAAATTATTCCCCCCAAATCTAAAAAGCATTTAGAAATTAGTCCCCCAAAATGTTTAAAGAGTTTGGGCGCCTGGTTGCAAAACACTTAAAGATCTAGGGACTACTTCAAAATATCAAGATCTCAGGGACTATTTCAAAATGTGAAAGATTCGTGGGACTAATACTGGTGGTAAAATATCCTACTATACTTGTTTACATGATTTGTATAAAATATGTATACTTGTAGGTAGGGGTGCATAGGTCCGGATACGGCTCCGACACTATGCTTATCATATCCATATCTGCTTATCCATCTCGGATATAGCTATGGATACCCATATACAGTGGTGTAGCCAGAATTTTTTTTTGCCCTGCGCGAAAAAATAATCCTGGTTGGCGATGAATCCCAAGGCGCAAACATCGGCGAAAGAAATGCATCGTCCTCCTGCTCATCTGTCGTTGGAGTCGGCACAAAACCTAGTTTTGAGCGGGGAAGCGAGGAAAAGCTGCTCAAGCTCGGTCGTCAAGGGGCTCCCCTCGTAGGAGTCGACGACGGGGCTCCCCGATTTCACTTTCTTGCCCTAGGCAGCTGCCCAGGGCAAGCCCCAGGTGGCTCCGTCACTACGCATATAACTCGGTAAGGAAAATTCATATCCATATCCGCTAAAATCGGATACAGTTACGGATATGGATAAGGATATATAAGCGGATATGCATGCGGATACAAAACGGATATGAGAAAACGAGATAGTATTGAGAAAAACATAGTTCATGTGATACAAAAGAGGTCGTTAATGAAGAGGGGTTAAAGAGAATGATTAATGTACTTAGCCTATTTGATAATCCGAATGACTAAATTATTAACCCGTTAAATAAGTTTTATTTTAGCCCTTATGATCAATTTTAGTGTTTGGGAATAACAATGATTTTGACTATTTTCTTTATAATTAGAAGGGTTAACTCTTATTCCATCTAAATAGGAGTATTAGTAATCCCCTTATTTTGAAGTGTTAACTCATTTTAACCTCTCTAGAGGGGTTAACTTAACCCTTCTATATTTTTTATGTTTGGCAAATTATGAAGGGTTAACTCACTTTAACCCTTATATAGATTTGTTGTGTTTGGCAGGTTAAGAAGGGGTTAAGTCTCCTTAACCCCTCACTTAACCCTTTGCCAAACGGCACCTTAAAGATCTAGGGACTATGTCAAAATATCAAGATCTCAGGGACTATTTCAAAATGTGAAAGATTCGTGGGACTAATACTGGTGGTAAATCAAAATATCAAGATCTCAGGGACTATTTCAAAATGTGAAAGATTCGTGGGACTAATACTGGTGGTAAAATATCCTACTATACTTGTTTACATGATTTGTATAAAAGATGTATACTTGTAGGTAGGGGTGCATAGGTCCGGATACGGCTCCAACACTATGCTTATCATATCCATATCCACTTATCCATCTCGGATATAGCTACGGATACCCATATACAGTGGTGTAGCCAGAATTTTTTTTGCCATGCGCGAAAAAATAATCCTGGCTGGTGTTTGCGTCAAAAGTTGGTTTTGTCATGGAATTCATTATATCTTCGGTCGATTACAATAAATTTGAAAGAATAATCTTTTTATAAGACTTTTTCTACACAACAAAACGAAAAATTACAACTCTTGAGAAACAAACGCAGGATCGTTGTTTGGATCACTGCTTGCGTGGGATCTTTGCCTGTGCCGGGGGTGCGTTAGCCCGTGGACCACCAAATCACAGATTCTGATCGAATCGTGAGGGGTTTATGATTCTGACTTCGTTTATCGAAGTGAGAACTTGAAACGATATCTTATCAAGGTAAGATAGTCGTTCTTCTTGAAATCAAGTCAAAGCCTGAATATCAAGGAGTTACAGAAGCTCGAGTACTCTGCCCTCTCTGCTCTGAAATCAGCCTGTGGATGCTCTTTATAACTGTCTCGTTTGCGAGACAGTAAATTCCGTCTTGCTCTGCGAGACAGTAAACACTGTCTCGCACGGCGAGACAGTAAACACTGTCTCGCACGGCGAGACAGTAAACACTGTCTTTTCTTTGATTTTTTGGATGACTTCCTTTTGAGCTGTGTTTGGATATCTTTCAGCATTTTTTTGACGCCTACAGATACCCCCTCCAAAGTGTTCCAGACATATTTTTTTATAGAGGAGTCTGGGGCACTTTGGATAAGACATGCCTTATTTGTAATCCCTTCAATACTTGATTGAGTAGATCGTACGGAAGGACCCGTACATGGCTTCAAATCTTGACCTCTTCATCTTTTGGTCTATCCAGTGCTTTGTAGAATAGACAAAATTTTTCCGGTGTCACGTTTATCGCTTGACCGTTGTCGAAGTCTTGACTTAGAGCTGGTGGAGGAATAGTTTATACTCATATACCTTATTGGAGTGTTCGGGAAATAGTTTAACCTCATATACCTGTTGGGAGGTAGAAGAATTTTATATTCTATCTCCTGGTCTCTTGTTTGTTGGTAGAGATGAACCCGATGATGGAGAGGAAGAATTTTATATTCTATCTCCTGGTCTCTTGTTTGTTGGTAGAGATGAACCCGATGATGGAGAGGAAGAATTTTATATTCTATCTCCTGGTCTCTTGTTTGTTGGTAGAGATGAACCCGATGATGGAGAGGAAGAATTTTATATTCTATCTCCTGGTCTCTTGTTTGTTGGTAGAGATGAACCCATAATCGGAGAGGAAGAATTTTATATTCTATCTCCTGGTCTCTTGTTTGTTGGTAGAGATGAACCCAGAATCGGAGAGGAAGAATTTTATATTCTATCTCCTGGTCTCTTGTTTGTTGGTAGAGATAAACCCGGAATCGGAGAGGAAGAATTTTATATTCTATCTCCTGGTATAAAGGAAATTTGAAGTGGGATTTCAACCCGGAATCGGAGAGGAAGAATTTTATATTCTATCTCCTGGTATAAAGGAAATTTGAAGTGGGATTTTTATTCAGAGAATCTGAATAAAGTTTGATCAATTTAGATTGGAAGCAATCCTAACTTTTATAGGTTTGATTGCGCAAATCGAAGGTGGACCTCTTGTTCATGGAAGGAATCAAGAGGGGATTTTGGCTTTGGTCCTAACTGTTTAAAGGTTTGACCAAGATCGGAATTTGAGACGATCCTAACTGTTTAAAGGTTTGATCGTTCAATTTGTGGACCTCTCGTTCATGGAACGAATCGAGAGGGGATTTTGGCTTTGGTCCTAACTGTTTAAAGGTTTGACCAAGATGGAAATTTGAGACGATCCTAACTGTTTAAAGGTTTGATCGTTCAATTTGTGGACCTCTCGTTCATGGAACGAATCGAGAGGGGATTTTGGCTTTGGTCCTAACTGTTTAAAGGTTTGACCAAAATGAGAATTTTGTGAGGGAAGATTGATCTAAAAAGGTGATCGAATCTCATCTCAGCAAAAGAGTATTCGGAAGTCATAATAGGAGTTTAGTGTTTATCACTTTGTTCATAATGATCGGGGTTATCCCTAAGAATATTACATTTAACATTCTTCCGGGAACTTCCCGTTACATGAATTATCCACCCCCAGCTTTCTTTGCAAAACTGAGTGTAACGAGGAGTTCGTTATCCTCAGTCGCATGTTCGGGTTATCCTTAAGAATATAAGATTCTCCAGGAACTTCCCGTTATATAAATCATCCACCCCCAGCTTCCTTTGCGAAACCGGGTTTAACATTGTACTCAGTTGGATAATCGAGAAGCAGTTTATACTCATATACTCTTTGGAGTGTGGGGAAACAGTTTATACTCGTGCACCCACTGGAGTTGTATGGTCGTCTTTACTCGACTTCTTTCGTCGTTATGACGCCGGAGTCAATTAGGGCTTGGATCTTGTTTTTGAGTCCAAAGCAAATCTCGGTGGGATGAAGAACCCTTCTGTGGTACGCACAGTAGTTTGGATCCGTAATCCTCTTAGCTCCATCCTGATCTTTAATAGGTGGTAGCTCGATTTTGTCATTAGCGAGGAGGTATTCCAATATGGCTGGAGCTTCATCATCTTCGAAAGAATATTCCTTTTGAAACCTCGGATCGAGAGTCGCATTCTCAACGATTGCAGATGTCATTGGTTGGCCTCTCTCAGCTTTCTTTCTTTTAAGAAAGTGCTCAGCTTGTTCACCCCGAGATTTTAACTCCTTCCAAGTTGTGGATGGCACGACCCCCAGAGCTTCCAGGACATCGATGGAGAGGTTATTGTGGCATGTTTGCAGGATGAACTCCTCTGTAATAGGATCTCTGCAATTCATTGCTTTGTTACGGAAACGTTTGACAAAATTGTCAACTGACTCTCCCATGTTTGCAGGATGAACTCCTCTGTGATAGGATCTCTGCAATTCATTGCTTTGTTACGGAAACGTTTGACAAAATTGTCAACTGACTCTCCGTCTTTTTGCTTCTCATCCAAAAGGATTCCGATTGACACTCCGGTGTCATCATCGAAGAAATTGCTGAGGAACAAACTTTCCATGTCATCCCAGCAATTGATGCTCCCTGGCTTGAGCCGTCGGTACCAATCGAAGGCGGACCCACGAAGGGTGCCAACGAATGACCGAACCATTAAAGCCTCGTTTCCAGAAATCATGCCTAAAGGCGAACTCTTCCCCTCAAACGGTGTGAAGTTAATCAGATTGAACTTCGCCGGGTACGGTATTGAATCCCATTCCCTTGGATAGGGACATGGAATACCCGTCTTCTTAACTTCTTGAGCCGTCATCAAAGCATTGATTTTGTCTTCAAGTTTTTGCATTTTCCCGTCATCGTCTTCATTTCTTTCTGAATGATGTCGAGTAAAGATAATTGGACCACCCCCAGTGAGAGGTGCTATTGAACCACCCCCAATATCGTTATTGGGAGGATCCGTTAAACCATCGTTATTGGGAGAATGTGTTAAACCACCCCCAGCGTTATTGCTATTGGGAGGTGTATCGGCCATAATGACTTCATCCACTTCTGGATCACTGTCATCCACAACTTTCTGAGTGTGGCAGCTGGATTCAGT